TTCCATCAGGCACTCTTTCATAAATCATTTTTTTTTTTTTTTTTTTTGGTTTGACCTTGAGTCACCATTTGGAAGAGCAGCCATTCGCTACTGAGGACTAAAAGAATGAACTTTAAGTACTCATTTTTATTGTACCCTTTGCACTTGCTCCAGAAGAAATCTGAAATAATAACTGGCAATCGTTTTTTGAGATTCTCGTGGTTAGCAACGGCAATAATGAGACCCCAGTTGAACCACAAACGAATGGAGAAGAGGCAGTGGAGGGGAACCTCAAGACAGGCTAGATGGATGCACTTAGATGACTTCTGCACTTTAAAGTTTAAGAAAACATCCTGGATGAGGTAAATATCCTTTTTGAAAAAAATGCTTTTTCAAAATATTACCCATACCTAAGGGAATAGATGATGATAATCAGGAATGAGGCACCTTATAACTTTCCCACTATACACATTTTCCTCGTTAAACGCGCGCAAAAATTTTTACAAGTTTTTAGAAGAATAGGAAAGCAAATTTTTAGGACGCGAGCGAGAATTTAGTCATTCGATATAGGCGTTCAGATTCGTTTCGAAAATAGTGCCGTTACCAGTGGAAATTCATTTTTTGTTGGTTCACAGTCCGAATTTTGTTGGTTCACAGTCCGAATGGAATGTGACTGAGAATACAGTGTAGAGGAGGAATTTACAAAAGGGCTTGGGACAAAAAACTGGGCGGATGCCGCTCCAGCTGTTTTGGACCACTTTTAGCATAATCTTGTAGAACTGGCATGTTCAATCTTCAGCTTTGGCATCTATTTTTTTTACTTATCATTTTTTAGCGTTTGGGTGCTAAATCTAGCGTTCTGGGATTAGTCTTCTACTGAAAAAAAAAGCCGATTTAGAAATTTCTAGCTAATTTACTGGATTTTTGTCCACATGAATTTTTATGTTTCTTAACATGTTGCATTTCTTCGTTGCGAATGGGCGCTGCTGTATTATCGCAACTTTTTTACCTGACATGTACATACATAAGCTTGACACATTGTGTGGTCAGAAATTTATACTGGTAATAGAGTTTTTGTTTCATCAAGCATCAGTTCCGGAGAGAAGAGCAGAGGGGAAGCGGAAGGGAAGATTTGTGAATCAGTTTTGCTTGCAGCTACTTCATCGCTCAGCATGCACTCTTTTACGGAAGAGCCATCAACTATGCCTGTTTTGCTGTAATAAAAGATCTTCTTTCTGCCATCGACGTGTAATTTTAGAAAAACATAAAATGTAAGAGAAAAATGAGCGTAAAAACATTGTACTTAAAGTGGCCCTTCAGCCGCTCGGTTATTGCTGTTAAAGAACTTTCAAAACCGGTTGTGACGTACAGGTGACAGGAGTGAGTGGTGCAAGAGGACGCGGGAGGGAGCAGGAGTGGGCTCGGATGCAAGGGATCTAGGCCACTGGCATAAGCTACTTATACCGGTGCACTGTGCCAGCAGCCATAAATTTATGATTTTTAAAATGTATGCATTTTCAGGAGTGAAAGTTTCTCATTCTCGAATTCTTCCACTGATGGCTTACTTTTCCGTCTTGCTTGGCCCGGTCATCTATACGCTCGCAGTTAGTGCCTTGGAAAATGGATTAGCCAGGTGCGTCTCTTAAATGCGTAACCGAATTAGATAAAACTGGTTAAAATGAACAAACATCCAGATGGTCGACCAGAAAAGAGCAACCCGTAATGCGTTAATCATTTAGGCAGACACATGTCATGTACTTTTGTTGCAACCGGAAGTTTCCTCCGCAATTCATCAAAACACAAAAATCGTTAACATTTGCTGTCATAATTTTTATTTGATTTACACTAGCCCAATCAGCCAAGTAGCCAATGTTGCTCAAGAAAGCGTTTAAGTTTTCCAAATTCAATAGTCTGTTTTTTGTTAGGACACCACCGATGGGATGGATGTCATGGACGAAGTTTTACTGCGAAATGGACTGTGTTCGACACCCATTCAGCTGCATCCACGAGCGACTTTATATGGATATGGCCGATCGTATGGGTAAGCTGCATCTTTACAAACTCCTTTAATATATTTATTTTTGGTTTCTGAGTTATTGTCTGGAAGTGCTACGAAAATAATTTCGCAACGGTTGGCAGTCAAGAATAACCGGGACAAACTGTAAAATTAGAAATTAAGGTATTGAACTTATAGAGCTCATTTTAAAATTTCTTCAAGTCTTCTCACTAATGAAATCTGAATTTAATTAATTAAACGCTTGATCCGAGGAGAAAGTTGAGAGAGGGTGAAAAGATGAGTCGTTGTCGCCGGTAAGAGTAAGAACATCTCTATAAAATATGCTCGATCTACGCGGGTGTGCTCCATTAACATTACCAACATGGATTACTCACACCTACTGGCCGGGCAATCTTGGTATATGTACATATATATGTATGTACATATATAGTAATAGGTTATATGTAAAGGTAGTAACGGGTGTTAGTCTTATACGTATGCATCAATCTGTTACTCTGCAGCAAAATTAGTTATTGTCTAAATAAGTTTGACAACCTTCCTGCTGAATTCATCTTTTTCCTTCATTTGACCTCATTATGATTCTCAACTATTTTCACTTGTATGTACAGTGAGATTGTTTCTGATTACTTAGGCACACCGCATTGGCTAAGCTTGGTGTTTTCATCAAATCCAACTCCCCAAGCCCCATATGCTGAAGCAGTGACCAGCTGTTTCGGAATATTTCGCTTAATCAAACACATACATATAAAAGGGCCCCAGATATGGTTTTGAAAACTTACAGCACGCAGAATATGAGAAATTTTGGCATACTTTTTGGTGCGTGCAAAACTGACTTATTTGTTTTGTAGCATTTTAGTGGAGGATGGCTATCTGGAAGCTGGCTATCAATACGTTCACGTGGATGACTGTTGGATGGAACGTCAGCGAGACCAGTACGGCCGCCTCGTTGCGGATCGACAACGTTTTCCACATGGCATGGCCGCACTGGCAGATTATGCAAGTTTCATTTTTGGAGAGAAGCAGATAGCATTAAGAAAAAAGGAAAAAAGGTTTTTTGTGAAGTGCGCACGGAATATCTCCCTAAAATTCCACTTTACTCGCTTTTGTTTTATTGAAACTGAATATCCGGACATAAGAGGCACATAAACAAACGTGCACACACACACACACACAAATGTACAGAAATGATCCTTATTTACGCCGTTCGATATTCAGAAATTCACAAAAATGTAAGTGAAAAAGAAATAGATAAAAAGGGAAGTGATTGAAATGAAATGAAAAAGTGAAGAGGGAACATCTTTTAGCTGAAATTATTTACGTGCTGCTTTTTGGCTATAAACGTGCCTTGAAGTACAGGTAGCCATAGATCCGTTTTCGGGAAGACAAGTCCATGAATCCATGCTTAAAATTAGCCTGAAACGTTAAAAAAAAATGAGTTTACTGGAAATTATAGATGCATCGACGTGGTTTAAAATTTGGCATCTACGAAGATTATGGTACAGCAACCTGTGCTGGCTTCCCAGGCAGTTACCAGCATACCAAAGTGGATGCAGACACGTTCGCTGCTTGGCAGGTGGATTATCTGAAGCTGGATGGGTGCAACATTAACGTCGACCTGATGCCAAGTGGTTCGTATCAGACTTACAGTTGCACCTCTCTGTATGTGTGCGTGACGAATGCTGAAGCCTTTGAGAACCAGTAGCTTTTGTGATATAATTTTAAATATCAGGCTGACAAGAGAACAAGAAAATAGGCTTGTATATTTGTCATAGGCTATGCGGAAATGGGCCGAATGTTGAATTTGACTGGTCGACCAATTGTATATTCATGTAGCTGGCCTGCTTATCTCATTACTCAACCGGAAAAGGTATTTTTTTTAAAGGTAGCTAATGCCGAGCATTCTGGTAAATATCAGTCCTTACGGGAAAAATGAGATGCTGCAGAAGCTTGACACATGAAGGAAGTGGGAGCGAGTTGCTTCGTGCTGTTGCAATAGGGGAAAAATTTTTTTTTAATTTCTCAGCTTTTTCTTCCGATTTTTCGTTTTCTTGAAAACGAATATGATCTTTATTAACGCAAGAAATGAACAGAGTAAACGGCCACAAATGGTTCTGCATTAGCAAAATCATGTTCAACAAATTTTTGCTTGTCAATCAGAATATAGACGATTTTGCTTCTCGTGATGCTCCCCAAATCGAGCGCCTTCTGGAAAGTTCTGGATAGGCGAATTAATTGCGTAGAGTTTGAACAAATATTCACATCAAATTTGTCTAACTATTGGCATAAATTTGCCAAAAAAGCGCCACTTTGATGTCAGCAATCCCCCACTTCTCTCCCGCGAAATCCGCTATCCTCCACAAATTGATCGTTTGTCCACCTGGGCCATGTTTCGAAACGCTAATAAAAAATAGTGTGTGAATGGGGATGGAAATAGGCAATTAGTGCATTTGAAGGGGTTGTCTTCTTCAATCCCCGCCTTATCCCTATCCCAACGCCCTCCACCATCACCCTGTCGCGCAGCCCTCCACCGGCCTCCTATCCCGCTGCTCTCCACCGGTATCCAATCGCGTTGTTTTCCTCCCGCACCCTGCCCTACCACCCTTCAACCAATCCCGCGATCCTCCACCGGCACCCTCTCCCACCGCCCTCCACTGGCTTTCTGTCCCGCTTCCCTCCACCGATATCCAATCGCGGTGCCTTCAACTCGCACCCTGTCCTCCCACCCTCCAGCCAATCGCCTGACCGTTCACCGGCAGTTCATCTCGCCAGCCTCCACCGGCACCCTATCCCGCCGCCCCTCAGCGACATCGAATCGCCTCGCTCTCCACCCGCACTCTTCCAACCAATCCCGCTGGCCCCCACCATCACCCTATTCCGCCGCCCTCCACCGACACCCAATCCCACCACCTCCACCCTCACTCTGTCCTACGACCTTCCAACCAATCCCACCGCCCTCCACCGACAGCCTATCCCGCCGCCCTCCAGCGGTATCCAAAACCGTTGCCCTTCACCCGCATCCTGTCCTACCACCCTCCAGCCAATCCTGCGACCGTTCACCGGCACTCCATCCCGCCACCCTCCACCGTCATTCTATCCCATCGCCCCCCAGCGACATCGAATCCCCTCGCTCTCCACCCGCACCTTGTCCTACCACTCTCCACTCAATTCCGCGGCGCTCCACCGGCATCCTATCCCACCGCCGTCCACTGGCACCTATCCCGCCGCCCTCCACTGGCACCCAATCCCGTCGTTTTCCACCTGCACTCCATTTCACCTCCCTCTTACTGCACTTTGCCTCGCCGCCCTCCATATCAGTGAAGTCCGCGAGTTTCCCCTTTCTCGCTCTCTTTCCTTTCGTATTAGCAGTTCGAAGGATCAAGCGCCAGTTCGACACGCGTCTCTTTTTCCGAATTAGGCATTTGATATCTTCTAACAGCTGTCGTTTATTTTCTCTCTGTGATGCTTCATCATCTTCTGCATAAATACGTTCTATGTCCCGACTATCGATGGCTGAAGCCAGCCCGCAGACTGTAAAATAAAAACTAGTATGGATTATCTGCTGTTATAAATAACGATTAAATCACTAAGTGGAAAATCGGTACTGGCATCCCAGTATTGCCGGTTTGAAATTTCGCAAAAGAAAAGTTTTCAACAATTCTCCTGGACGATGAACCGTGCATTAAGCTTGTAAAAGAGCCAAGATGTTTAGGTGGACTATCATCTGATTGGGCAACACTGTAATCTGTGGAGAAATTTCGATGACATTAAACGCTCCTGGGCATCCATTAAAAGTATCATTGATTACTATGATCATAATCAAGACAAACATATCCCGGCTCAGGGACCTGGAAGATGGCACGATCCTGACATGGTTTGCGACTCTTTCTTAAGAAAGCTGTTTCCAGGCCAAAATATGAAACAATACTTATGCCGGGGCTCATTTTTGTGAGGTTATAGATTTCCGGTTCTTCACAGATCGCTAACTTTTCAAAGCAGAATGATAAGAAAAGTCTCATGTATAAATTTTCGAAGACTTGGCACTTCCGGCTTTTGATGTCGCTTGGATTCGAACTGAAACAGTAAAAAAAAAAAAATATTGCAAAATCAAGATGCTGTACAATTATATTCAATGGAAATTTAGCATTTTAGATTATTGTTGGCAATACGGAAATAACAGTGGATCAAGCAAAAGTGCAGATGTCGATTTGGTCCATCTGGTCTTCACCTTTAATTATGTCCAATGATCTCAGAATGATTGCACCCGTTTTCCGGGAGATTTTATTAAATAGGCTGGTAATTGCTATTGACCAGGATCCTCTTGGGATTATGGGACGATTGGTCGCTAACGTTAGTTTTTTTGCATTACGAATGTAATTCCTGAACGGAGGGACGGATATGAAAGAGAAGAGGGACGAGGAATGTTTTGATATCTAGGCCTACGGGTTCAGCCGAAGCTGCGAACCAAAGATAAAAGAAACTAAACAAGGAATTTTTCGGATATAATTTGTTGGGAAATGTGGGAAAATAATTTGAAATCAGTTTTCAAACTTCATTATTTCCTAACCTGTGATTCCAGGTCCCAGCTGAGGCTATTTCCCAGATTTTAAAGTGTCGCACTGCTGTAAAATCGAGATCTTAGAGCTTTAATTTTTAAAGTTTACAGTCTTTATAATCTGTAATCCCGTATCAAAATAATCCAAAATTACAACTTCAGAAGGGGACAAATCACTAATCGGATATTTTGTTATTTTTCACGCATGATAAAGACCAAAAAAGTCATGGTATAACTACTTCCTACATGTATGACGCATTTACTGTTTTTACACCTAAAAGATGGCAAAAATGCGTAGTCATGCCCACCGCAACATATGCACCAGAACTGAACTGTACTAAAATCTGCGAAAAGCTCCTTTTCACAAAAAAGTTCGAAGAACGAATTATGCTTTCAAAATTTATACTTTGAAAATCAGTTTCAGACGACTGATATTGGCATTTACGTGAAGCCAGTGACTCCAGCCGTTCCGGCAGTTGGCCGCTATTCCTATGCTGTCGCTGTTTTTAATCGTAATCAGTACACACAAATGGTGCAGTTCCCGTTTTTATGCGTTTTTTGCAGCTATGCAATGCAAAAAACGCATATTGACGAGAGGTTGTCTGTGT